TTAACACTTACAGATTATTAAATTAGGCCGAAAATTAGATTAAAAAATACAGAATAAAGGTTTTGTGGGAAAAAATTTACCAGATAAACAAGCAAGTAGATAAAATATGCAAAACATTATGAAAGGCATTAAAAGCAAATTTAATCAAACGACCAACCAAAATTACAATAATAAGTACTTTATTTTAATTTAAGAATATTTAAACTCCTTGTGCACTACATAGTATCAGACAAGATTTACAGTGGCATACAACAACATAACACAAAATGAAATAAAATTACTAGTTCACAGATGACACGTAAAAAAATGAATATGTAGAAAGAAGAGAATACCATTTTATCTTGAACAAACACATGAAGAGAGGGAGGAAAAGTAATGTTTAAAGAGTTTAACAGAGAAATGAATTTTCTTCTTCCTTCCGTAAACTTTGAACACTCGAACAACAAATATTCAATATTTTGCTCCTCTCGAAACTACAGGAATACATGTATGTATTAGATAGCCCAAGTACTTTCAGATATGATCTGAAATTATTGTGCCTAGTTTGAAATTCAGTAATTGCAAAATTCCATTTCTTTCTATTCATCATAGACTTCTTAAATCAATCTATGATGAATAGAAGGAAAAAATAATTCACTCAAGGAGGAGCAGAAAAGTTTCTATATAATTCATTCCACTTGAGAATTGCTTAATTCTAACATTGTTTAGCGAAGAAGGACTTATTCATTGTCGTTGGGGTGTTAAAGTAAAGGTTTATATCTTGTTTTACCAACCAATCAGCAATATCATTTCAAAAACTGCCAGTGCCACGTCCATGATCTTTGATATTATTACCTTTATTATTAAGATCTTTGAGAATTCCATGAGAAGTGACAACTAATATATTACAGGCAAGATATCATAAGCAGAAGTGAGAATGAAAAGAATCATTGTAAATAAGAACAACGTACTTGGCCTATAGAAAAATATGTTCCAATGATCTGGACCTTTCGAATCACTGAATAAATAACCCTAACTAGTCTGCGAGTTAAGAATTCTACACAGTAAAAAAAACAAGAAATCATTATCCGATTTTTGCTTGCATTTTAAAAGAAAAGCTGGCTTTCAGTTTCTATTTAGTGACTAAATTTATTCGGTAAATGACTCGACATTTAACTGTTAAGATATAAACTGTTGGAGCATAAAACTTTTATTATAATAGCAAAAGAATTTTAAATAGTAAATTAAACTTTTTATGCTTAATTTGATTTTCATGGAATCAACTGGGAAGCCATGACAGTAAATTAAGTAAGTGAAAGATTAGATCATTCAAATTTCCTACGTGCAGAAACAGGAGAACATCTCTGTGAATGTTTCGAATCATTAAACTTAATTGCTTTGTCTCTGTCGAAACAGTGTACAGACATTAGTTTCTCCTAACTCTAATCTGCTCTATTAAATTGTTTGAGCATCACATTGTGTAACAGCAGCCAATACAATGGACTACCCTTGTCATTGTTTAAGGGACACGTGTGGTTAAGCCGCAGCATAACTAAAGCATGTAATTGCGAAACAAGATACCTCTGAAGCTAAAATTCGATGTTCATCTTGAGGAAATTATTTTTGCAGACTTTCTATAATGAACTCTCAGCATTATGCCTTCATAAGAATAAATAAATATTCATATCTGTTCAAATTTTCCTGTCCACCGTTCATTTGGAAAACTGAATTAACGTAACGAAAGACTTTTAAAATGTTAAAGTCTGAGTAAAATACCAAAAGCTGAATTTTGAAAATAATTATTACTTAAACTAATTATATGAAAGAGAAAAAAGTAACTTCTTGAAAATTTATGAATGAATTGAAAATATTGAACATTACATAAATGATATTTATCATTTAAGGCAGTGGTGCCCAACCATTGGCCTACCGCGAGCACATTCCCAAAACATCAACATTTTTCCAATCTTATGTGATACATCTGAAATATTAATTTCGGAAAATAGCTTTGAGATGAATAATAATATTTGTTGAACTTTATGGAAATCAGAGAAGCGGAGTTCAAAATTATTTTTTAGTTGTATTTAGGTTTTCCGGGTATTTCTCTGTTTCGATTGCTTTGTGGTTATTAATATGGCTGATAAATTCTGAAAATGGGTGAAATTTGTTTCTTTCATCTGATTTATCCACAAATTTAACTTTATCTGAAAACCAGATACAGCCCCTGTCAATTGAAAAAGGTTTTTTTTTTCTCTTCCGTGAAGATCTTCGTTCAGTTTGTTCAGTTTAGCTGTTATATCCGTGAGATAATACATTCAATTCTTTATATTATAAATCAATTATTTTATAACGTCTTGCAAGATATCTCTTATGACTAGAAATGCTTACCACATTTTAACAATTAGAAATATAAATGAATGGTTACTTTAAAAATATTCTTTGTTCATAGTACCTAATCGGACTGGCAAGCACATACAAAACGATCGACGAGCACACTTGTGCTCGCGAGAGCAAGGTTGAGCACCGCTGATTTAAAGTATAGAAAGCTAGCACCGTCTTTAAATTTAACATAAATTGTAGATTTTAAAAGAATTTCTAGAATTTCGGATTAATATACTTTCAATGATGCTCTTTGATTAAAATATGACTGAAAGATTTAGATTTTTACCATTCCACTGACTCAAGAATAATATCTATACATAATTTTGTTTTCCTCTATTTAAATTCATAATGTATAGAGAGATTATATATAGAGAAAGATTCGTAATCATAAACGAAGAATTGCTCTACTTTTACTATGGATTTTCCATATGAAAGATGAAACATATAGAATTTGATGCACAACCTTCAGAAAAATATATAATTTTATCTGAATTCTCAAAAATTTGGCGGCACACTTCGCGGCTCACATAAATTGCATAAAAAAGCCTTATACTGTATTCTACTCATGAAGTACAGCAGTGATTTAATCGAGTTTTATTCAACTCAGGGATGCGAACCTCAGGGCTACTCTTTGTGTCCTGAATGGCTATGAATTGATCCTGTCTAGCTAAGGGTTTGATCCTAAGATACTCGTTCCTATCTAGCTAAAATGCTGTAAGATGATGGTTCTTGTCTAACTAAGAATCTGTTACGAGATGGTCTATTTTACCGTTGTCTCATATTCAGTAGTCAAGAATAGTTTAAATACTGATAAAGCGTAGGAGGTATATAATATGTTGCACTTAATATATCAAATTATTCTTACATTCAGGTCACCATACACTTCTGTAAATACAGCATAATTTAATCTTAATTTCTAATTAAAATATGTAAAATATAATCTAAAATCATCTCTAATCTCAGTCATAACTGTAAAATGTTTGACTGTTTTGCTTGCGACTTGTAACTAATATTGGGTTTTACCTGTACTAAACTAATTGAAAGGGTGGGATAGTCAGAAAATGTAGTATTTTTAAACAGTGAAAGATGTTTAATATTAAGAGTATAAAAACTGTTGTAAGATAATATTGATTAAAATTAAAAGTGAACCAGATAAAAGAAAGGGCATTAAAACGAAACAGATGAACTCTAATATTTTTATAGACTTAAGTATGCCCGTGGACGCATGATAAATTTGATGCTTAGATAAATTCTAGTTAAAATATCACAAAATTTATTAAAACTTTATTAAATGAAAGTTTTACCTAAAATTTTAAAATACTTACATCTTGCCAATTGTGTCTTGCAATATAAACGATATACGTATAGGAATAAAATTTCAGTATCGGCTAAGAATCAAACCAAATACCGCGTCATCCCAAATAAGCGTTACCACTCTGATGTCGAAGCCTGTTGCTGCCATTTATTTATTATGCAATAGTTCAATGACTTGCTGAAAAAAGGACTCACTAGCTCCTACAATAAGCTACCTTTTTTAATTACGAGAGAAAAAGTGTACCTATTTATTTAGTGTATCTTTACTTATTTTTTTATAGATAACTTTCTCTTTACAATATCAATTTATTAAATACAGCAGCACATTTTACATTTCGGAATGAAGTCATATTTCGGAAATTAATTTCTTATCACAAAATCGATCTAAAATTTAAACAGCCACAAAAGTATGATAGTTTTCTTTTATTGGCAAATATAATTTAAAACAATCCGGTTGCACTGTATCATCTTAAATTCTACTGTCCTTGTTTTAAATAGAGATTATTTAGAATATTCGCTTAGTGTAACCAAGTACACTGCCCTCCAAACGTTAATGAACAGCGTGTTTTTTGTGTCTAATTTGAGAATGAAGCAACATAGAAACCAGAAATTAAGAAGAAATATTCACTAAAAGTTCTTTAATGAATGCGACATAGAAAGTTTCTAAAGTTCAACACAGACATGAGTTACAACATAACATTGCATTCTTGGCAGAGAAATCCAGTCTTAGAGAAACAGTATATCACAGTTCCTTGAGGAAAGGTTGGGTGGTAACATTACAAAAATGTGTTCTAATAAGAAATGTGTCTACCCCTAGCTGCAATACATTGATGTTCCATGCTGTCAATTAAATTGTCGATCAGTGAAATGGGAAGCAACGACCAGACACGGAGTAATCTTTATTCAAGCTCATCTAACGACATTGGAGAAGGTCTTAAAGCAGCAACCTGTCTCCCAAGGTAGTCCCCAAGATGGTATATCAGATTCAGGTCTGGGGATTGAGCTGGCCATTCCATCTGCTCCATACCGTGACCCTCAATATGTTCTTCAACAACCCGAGCTTTATGCGGTCGCGCATTGTTATCCATCAGAAGAAATCTAGGATCAATAGCAGCGGGATATGGATGGCCAATATTGATCAAGGATCTCGTCTCGATATCTCACACCGGTCAAGTTGTGCTAATAATAATTAATGGTATCGTTATAATAAAAGCTTGTTATCATATTTAATGGTTTAAAAATATCGTATTTTATAAGAAATGTTTTCATGACTCTTGTTATCAATGAAATTGCAAAATAAAATTTCTCTTCTTTGTATTTTACAGCCCCTTTGTCTACTTCTATGTCTCCAGTAGTGCAAAAAATCCACGTTGGTCGACCTTGGGTTATCAACTGTTCTGTATCTGGACATCCCATCCACGGTGTTCACTGGAGGAAAGATGTTGACGTTCTGTCCTTGGACGGCCGAATTAATCAAATATCTCGTGATGTCATACGGATAGACCCCGTGCAGAGAGAAGATCGTGGCATGTATCAATGCATTGCTTATAATGACAAAGAAACTGCTCAGGCAGCTGTTGAACTCAGTCTTGGAGGTAAGATTTAAGGCTTTTCGGTTCCCATTTCAGAGCCTTTTAGGAGTTATTAAATAGTAGTTTGGTGTTTAATTGTTTTTTTAAGATATGAAGCTTTAATAAGCTAGAAAATAATGATTTTGTCGGTATTTAAAGCTATTAGCTTAACTAGTGGATGGCAAAGAATTAACTCTCGAAAAATCATCTTTTTAAAAATTTTTATACTGTGATAAAAATAATAAAACTTAATCAGAGGGATAGTGTTATTTGATATAACTACACTTCTAAAGTTAATCCATTGTGCTTCAAAAGTCGTTTCTCGGATTTTTCGATTCAAAACTTCCTTACACATTTTTCACAAAATGTATATATACAATATATATATATATATATATATTGTGTATATATTGTATATATATATTGTATATTGTAAATATCGATTCTCATTTTATGATTAACATATTGTTTTACATCTACATTAATTGTCTACATCGCCTAGGGGAGTTTCTTTCGCATTATTGATAATAAAATATTTAATTATTTAATTAAAATTTATAGTAGTTAGTGGATTTTGACATGAGAGTTTTGTTGAAAAATGTGAGAAAGATTAAACGTGATGGAATTTAATTGTTTCTGATGTTATGGAAAGAGACTAATTCTCTTGAACAGTCAGGATCTTTCTATGGAATCGGCAACACTTTTTTCGTGTAAAATATTATTATATTTTTTAACTTGTCATTAACTTATATACATATTACATCTTTTGCATACAAACCTTTACTAAGATTTATCCTTTTAAAAATTCCAATCTCATTAGTCACTTAAAATATCCATTAAATTATTTTCTATCATTTCTTAAGAGATAATCAACCTGAAATTTAAAAGATATATATTATATATACTATATATATATATATATATATAATATATATATATATATATATCTTATAGTTAATATTAACTATATATATATTTGATATATTAATAGTAATTGGAAAAAGTAAAAGTCGGAACGTAATTAAATAGATTTAGTCCAAAACTTATAAAGGTCTATCTCTTCTCGTCCGGGTGGTTCTCAAAACCGAGTAAACACGAAAGAAAGTTATAATTAAAAACGGAAATTCCTCTGAAAATTAATCTCTTATATATATGATAAATTATAACTGAAAGGCAGTTTTGCATTTACTATTAAAGTAAAAATTATTTAAAAATCTTAAATAAAAGTGTTGGTATAGATCTGCCAAAGCCTTTGGCTAAGAGCGACGGTATGTAGAATATTAAAAATAGGAAAAAAATTAGAATTTACTAAAAATTAAATACATTAAAACTAAAAATTACTGTAGCTGATTTATTATTTTCAGCTACAACATCAGCAGGAGGTAGTTCAGTCTGACCTTACTTCGGCTAGCAACTTGTACTCCATATACGCATCTATTCAATTTTTATTAATCAGAAGTACCCACTTTTAAAAATAACTTATGCTCATTTCTAAAAATTAAGAGATCAAAAAAAATTCCAATATTTTTTTTTTTATTTTGAATTTTCTACACAGTGTTCACGCTTACCCAAAGCCTGTTAAAAATCTACATCAATAGTTTTGTTTAGGAGTTTTAAATGATTATTTTAATTATTGTATTCCAATCTTAGTACCTATTAGGCTGAATTTTAATTCTGAATGTCCTTATTACGCCCAATTTCATTTTGGTTTTAATTTATACATATATGTATTGAGAGAAAAAGAGAGAGTCATGAGAAATTTTTCGTTTTTCTTCAGACTTTCTTCTTTCTTCTCCTTTTCTTTTTAAAATCTGTTCAATTTACCATTTCAGTAACACATTTTCAATAAGGCTGAAAAAACTGTTTCCTTCATTTGATGCAAACCAAATATTTTCCGCAGATAAACCAAATCTTTTAAGTAAACACAAGAATAGAATTCAAAAGACATCAAGTCTGGGTTTCGTAACAGCCATTCATTATCTTCTTGGCCCTATTGAATATTCTTCTAGTTAATAAGCATTATGATTTTGATTAATTATAAAGAAACTTAAGGCCTTTTATTTTAACGGAAGAACATTCACACCTTTTGGACTTACAGGAACACTCCACTTGGGCTTGAACTTAAGAAAGAAATTAAACTAGTTCTAATTGCTAAATATTTAGCCGTAGTAAAGAAAATTACTAACCGAGTTGGCCCCTATTTTAACCTCACAGGCGAACGCTAACAGCCACGTAACAATACCACCAAGCGCAATAATATTTGTTTCAGGCAAAGACGTGGTCAGAAGTCAGAACACGCTTTACTGAGAACTTTTGTGTTCTTCTATCAAAGTGACCAAGACTTCCCATAAATACTGGATCTATTTCATTTACATAAAACGCGATACTGAAAACTGATTCTGGCAGTGAGTTGTAGGTGGGAAACAAGAGAGTAAAGGAAAACTGTTAAAATTTAAAATAATTATTTGGAAATAAAATTAACACCGACAACCTGACCAAATCAGAGTTTCCTACTCGCGTCGGTTGGAACTTATAGAAGTTCCTTCAAGATGATGGCCGACATCAATCCTTAGCTTAGATTATTATTTTAATTACTCTTATGCTTCTAATAACGATGTCCTTTAACAAAAAGGAAGGTAACTTGAAAGCTTATAGACAGCGGTTTGCTGCGGCATGGCTCAAAGCGAGAGAAATAGCTAACGTTTTATCAACATTATGATATAATATATGTTGCTTACACTCTTTTTCAAAATTAATTTTCATTTTAGTAAATATCGATAGACAACTAAAACAAAATATTTGTTATCTATATAAACTTTCTGAAAGAAAGATTGTCTTAAAGTGAAGCACTTCAAACATTTTTAAACTTTTGTAACCAAGGAAATCTTGATGATGCATCTTCATTGTAGTAATGTTCTGTTCTCTTTCGAACATATAAGACTTATTTTCTTCATTCAAGTTACATAACAAAAGTACAATAAATTGCTAAACTAAGGTATAGTTAAACTTTTTTAAGCTGTAATTATGGATTCTGATAACATATATTTAACATAATATTTAGTTACTTGCGATTTCTGTATAACTTACATTTACTAATAATTGAATTATGTAGCTATATAAACAACATAACGAAGACAAAATTTCAAGCAAATGTCCATTACTTTCGCATAATAAAAAATACGTATTCATGCTATTCTTAAATTTCAATAATGTATGAAATTATTTCAATGTAGTAGTTAATCAAAAAAGTTCTTAATTTACTTGTTGAAATTTAAAGATTAGTGTGCTGTTTTAGTGAGTATTTTGATGTCTTTACTGCAAATAATCTAAAATGATTAAAATTTATTAACTTACTTAAACTCGAGAAAGCTTAAAATTGATTTTATTTTGATCAGGAAAATCATAGTTTAATGCGTTTGCTATGAAAATACAGTTTCTGCATTTAAAAATGTATAGGTTTCGTACGATAATAATTTTTCAACTTTTGTCGTACCACTCAAACAGGAAACTGGTTAATGATTCTGACTACCATACTGAAGGGGCCGTGTTCGAATCCCGGAGAAAGAATGGATGTAAACTGTCCATCCCTTCATAGGAAATAACGTTGGCTGGGTATTAGGTGCCTCCATAATAAAATAGCCTCCGCTTCCGGCATTAGTAGTGGCGAAAGCCTAAAATGGTTAGTGTCCGGCATAAAAAAAAGAAAAAAAAAAGGGAAAAAGCTATAGTCAGTATGATTAGTATGAAATTTTATCACAAAAGCAGAACATTTGGTTCTGCAATTAAGCACCCTCTGGATCATACAAGACTTGTGACACTAGCCTTTGTTTCCTGTAATTAAATTTAATATAATTTAAATCTTTAAATTTTAGTTTAATAGCGCAGTTCACTTTTATTTCTTGTCCCGCTATATTGCCTTCGTTCAGTAATTACCAAAACAATGTCAAGAAAGTGAAAGCATCATATTTTTGACTGCCTTACAAAATGATTTAATGTTCTACTGGATTGCTTTAAAAAATTGTCACGAATAAATACATGGAGTAGCTGGAATCCTGCTCTAAAGTTTACTTAATAGAGCATGTTTTCAGTTTTGATCTATTTATGTTTACAACAAGAAAAACTGCTAAAACTCTAATGAGTATACTACAAAGATTATGCAGTAGAAAACTAAGCTTATATTATTTGGAACTTAACTTACAGCTTAAAATATGATTTGAACTCTTTTTCACTTTAATGAGAGTGTTTCAAAATTTGTTCATATGCAAGTATATATTCTTCGGATTTTTTTACTAATTTTCATATAAAACTTAATTATTTTATTTTTAGGTATTTTTTTTAAGTTATTCCTGCTTCAAACAGTGGTATGAAGAGATTTTAGAATTATTTCATTTGTAGCAGAATTCTTAATGCCTAGGAAATGTGAGAAATGTGTAACATTTAAGGATCTTCCTAATTTCATTACCATATCCAGCTAGCAAATAGAAAATCAGTGTTTTCAATATCGGGAAGAGCACAATTGAGTTTCTGGTTTCCAACTCTAAAAAATCTAACAGACTCTAAATGTGCGCCCTGAATAAGATGTGGTGGATGATAGCTTGTCACTACTTGGACTGATCGCCTGGGTTTCGTACCTCTGCCCATTTGCTTTTTAAGATGAAATTTAGGGAATTATCTCATCCCCCGTACATACCCTCATGACAGATTAGCCAAGGAGAGAACATCAGGAAGAATTTATTATCTACAACCATCACTTTGGCCATACTGAGTAATTTTGGGTGTAAATTTCGTTTCAAACAGCCAAGTTAAGTTCTAAGTGGAAGAAAATGGCATAAGTAATAAAAGTATCAAATTTAAAGTTGTCTAATAGCTACCTAAAATTTACAAACTTACTTTTTCCCATCCACATACTATATAATATTAAATAACCCCCTTTTACGTTATCAACACTCGGCGCGTATTAGTTGGCACAGGAGCACAAATTAACCAGCACTTGCAATTTTAATATTTATTTGTACAAAAATCAA